AAGAGGGCTTCAGATTCCCCTGGAACTGGAGTTAAGGACGGTTTGTAGCCGCCATGTGGGTGCTGGGAATCGAACCCAGGTCCTCTGCAAGAGCCATCAGTGTTCTTAACTGCTGAGCCATCTCTCCAGCCCCTAACTAAAATTTTAACTGCAAAATTCAGTTTACCATTTTGAAGTTTAAATCCTCCCCTCCCGTGTGTGTGTGTGCGTGCGTGCGTGCATGTGTGTGTGTGTGTTTGAGACAGTTTATGTAATGAACTCATAATGATCCTCTTGCCTCAATCTCCCCAGTGTTGGGATTACAGATGTGTACTACCAAGTCCAGCGGCTAAGTCCTTAGAATAAGGTTTCAAAGCTGCGTACAGTGATGCATACCAGTAATCCCAGCACTCAGGAAGCAGAGGCAGGAGGATGGCTGCAAGTTTGAGTCCAGTAAGAGCTATACAGTGAGACTTTCTCCAAAAAACAAAGGTCCAGTGAGATGACTTAGTGATTAAATACATTTGCCGCCAGCCCAAGCCTGATGACCTGAGTTCAAGCCTAAAGACCCATATGATGAAGGGAAAGAACTAGCTCCACACATTTGTCCTCCAGCCTCCACACACATGCTATGGCACACACACACACACACACACATGAATAAATAAATGTAATTAAAGGTTAAAAATGAGCCAGGTGTGGTGGTGCATGCCTTTAATCCCAGCACTTGGGAGGCAGAGGCAGGCAGATCTCTGTAAGATTGAGGCCAGCTTGGGCTACATAGCCAGGTCACCTGGGCTACAGGGAGACCCTGTCTCAAAACAGTTAAAAATCAATAATGAGCCAGGCGTGGTGGCGCACACCTTTAATCCCAGCACTCGGGAGGCACAGGCAGGCGGATCTCTGTGAGTTCAAGGCCAGCCTGGTCTACATAGTGAGTTCCGGACAGCTGGGGCTACAGGGAGACCCTGTCTCAAAGGACCAAAAAAAAAAAAAATCAATTATGTATGTGTAAATGTGTTTGTATATATATTAATGTGTTGTGAATTTAAAGGATATTCTAGAAATATATTGATAACAAATGTAATGCCTTAAAGTTTAAATCTCAGTCATACATAAACTTTGCAAATCTATTGAAAAGTCTCTTCCCTGATCACTTTAGTATCTAGATTGATGGAGGCTCAACCTTCATAATACTACATGTCTAGAACTTGAAGCCTTCTCCTTTGTCACAGAAGAAGTTAACATGGAAAATTATGCGTTGGCCCTCAGGTGCTCCAGCCTACAACTATTGACTATAACTGACATATGACTATCTAACTGTAAGGGAGTGCTAGGAAACATAGCCGTGTCTGGTAAGATGAAGAGAACCAAGTGTTGGTGAATATTGGTAATGTCTGTCACAGTCTTGATTCTACTGTTGCTAGCTCTGTAATCTTGGAAAGCCCCCCTTTGAGTCTCAGTTTACACATTTAAAAATTAAAAGTAATAATATCCTCACTTCACTGAATTGTATCAAGCGAAATACTGTTGCATGGGAGTACTTTGGAAATGGGAAATATGATGAAAAATTTTGTTATTCTTTAGCTGTTTTTGAAGTTAAAATGCTGCTTTTTTTTCCCCCCAAGGTCTCCTGAATGATGGAACTGTGGGAATTTTCAGAGGCAACCAGATGCGCTTAAAGCGAGCTTGCATTCGTAAAGCAAAGATCTCTGCTGTTGCCTTCCGGAAAGCCTTCTGCCACCACAAGTTAGTAGAACTCGATGCCACAGGTGTAAATGCTGACATCACCATCACAGACATAATCAGTGGTCTTGGCAGTAACAAATGGATTCAGCAGAATCTCCAGTGCTTAGTGCTGAACTCGTTAACTCTCTCCCTTGAGGATCCTTATGAGCGATGCTTTAGCCGGCTTTCTGGTCTTCGAGCTCTAAGCATCACCAATGTGCTCTTTTACAATGAAGATCTGGCTGAAGTTGCTTCATTGCCTAGACTGGAGAGCCTGGATATTTCCAACACCTCAATCACAGACATCACTGCCCTACTGGCTTGCAAAGACCGACTTAAGTCTCTGACCATGCACCATTTGAAATGCTTAAAAATGACCACTACTCAGATACTAGATGTTGTTCGGGAACTAAAACATCTGAATCATCTCGACATCTCAGATGATAAACAATTTACATCAGACATAGCCCTTCGATTATTAGAGCAAAAGGACATCTTACCCAATCTTGTCTCCCTGGATGTTTCAGGGAGAAAGCACGTGACAGATAAAGCTGTGGAAGCCTTTATACAACAGCGACCTAGCATGCAGTTTGTTGGGTTGCTGGCCACAGATGCTGGTTACTCTGAATTCCTTACAGGCGAAGGACACTTGAAGGTTAGACCTTAAAATATATTTTGTCTGGCTGATCAATTTCTTAGTTCCATAACACTTCATTAAGATGAGTGTCTAATATATGAAACTTGATCATGAAACAAGGCATGCAAAATCATTTTATAGTGGGAAGGCCTACGTTAGGGTTAAGAGTCCTAATTAGAAGTCCGATGGGGCACAGGAATGGAGCTCATTTGGTAAATTCCTTGCCTACCATGCATGAAATCCTGGGTTCAATCCCCAGCACTATATTACAAAAAAGATGGCCCTGGGTTAGGGATGTAGCTCTGTTAGAGTTCTTGCTTAGTGGGTGGGAAGGGATTTAGTTCAGAGCACTATATAAACCAGCTATGTTAATTTGCACCTGTATTCCCAGCACTTAGGAGTTAGAGGCAGGAAGATCAGGGGTTCAAGGTCATCCTCTATTATGAGTTAAAAGAGTTTGGGCTGCGTGAGACCCTGTCTCAGACAGACGGAGAAAGAGAGAGAGGGACTGACTCTTCTGACCTTTATGGGCATTGCATGACACAGATGTGCTTGCATACATGCAGGCAAAACACTCATAAAATTAAAAAAAATTTACAAAAGAAAGGAAAAAGAAAAACTCAGTTCAGCTTTTTTGCTTAGTGACCAGAGCCAGCTGTAACATAACTTTTTTGAGTTTCCATTTTCTTATTTGTAAAATAGACTTCTCTGTAGAATCCTGTGAAGCTTAATAACTGTAAATGCAAAGTATAAGTCCTATAGTTAGTTGGTCTTGGATAAACTGTAGATGTTATGATAATGCTTAAATATTTTAAGCTATTTAAACATGTTTCTAATGAATTATTTCAGCAAAACCAGGAATACCCTTTTGAATTGAATACCTGATGCAAGATAAAATTCTCTGAGATCTGTTTATAAATTTTTATTTATATGTGTGTGTATATGTGTGTGTATATGCCACATATGTGCAGGTGTCTGCAGAGGCCAGAGAAGGTGTCAGATCCCCTGGAGCTGAAGTTACAAGTGTCTGTGAGTGGGTGCTGAGAATCAAACCTGGGTCCTCTGCAAGAGCAGTAAGTGCTCTTAACCCCTTAGCCATTTCTCCAGCCCCACTGTGAGATCTTTACAGTAGAAACTAAAAATTTTCTTCCAGGAGTGGCAGTATACATCTTTAATCCCAGCACTTGGGATGCAGAGGCAGATGAATCTCTATGAGTTCCAGGGAAGCCTGGTCACAGTATAACGAGTTCTGACTACAAAGTGAGACCCTGTCTCAAAAAAACAAAAACAATTTTTTTTTCTTTTCTTAAGGATTCTCATGACTAATGGTTAAAATTTAGTTTAGCAGGGCCTGGAGATATGGCTCAATGATTAAGAGCACTGGCTGCTCTTGCAGAGGACCCAGGTTTGGCTCCTAGCACCCACATGGCAGTTAACAACTGTCCCTAATTACAGTTTCAAGGGATCTGACATCCTCCTCTAGCCTCCATGAACACTGCATGTACATGATGCCCTAACATACATGCAGGTAAAACGAGAGAGAGAGAGAGAGAGGGAGAGAGAGAGAGAGAGAGAGAGAGAGAGAGAGAGAGAGAGAGAGCCCAAGACCCCTAGACCTTTGGCTGGAGAAATGGCTTAGTGTTTTTTAAGAGCATCAGTTTCAGTACCCAATACCCCATGATGACTAACAATGGTCTGAAACTGCCTCTTTGACCTCTGCAGGCACTGCACACAAGGCTGCATCTACACACATGCCTGCATGTGTATAAGCGCACCCCTGTTGTGCAGTGCCTTTGGAGGATAGAAGAGTGCGTCAGATCTGGTACTGGAGTTACGGATGAATGTTAGCCACTGTGTGGGTACTGGGAACCGAACCTGGGTCCTCTACAAGAGCAGCCAATTCTCTTAACCACTGAGCCATCTCTCTAGCTCCAAATAAAATATTTTTTTTAAAACTTAGTTTAGTAAATGTCAACTATATTTCATATAGCTTGGGATTTAAAGATGAAACAGATACAGGATCTGCCTGTAAGGAAGTTAGTCTGACAGGAGTGGTAGATATATAATCACATTTATATTTATAGCTCTATATTTACTTAAATATATTTTTTAAATATTGAGTGTATTGCTTGCATGTACCTCAGTGCACCCGTGTTATACAATACTGGCAAAGGTCAGAAGAGGGCATCAGATCCCCTAGAACTGGAATTAGGATGGTTGTTAGCCACCATGTGGGTGCTGAGAATTGAACCTGTGTCCTCTGCAAGAGCAGCACCTCCATATATTCAGGCAAAACACTCATACACATAAAATAAAGATTAATTAATTAATTAAAAATAAGAAAAATTTATATGTATGTGTGAGTGTCTACATGTACATATGTGAACCATGCGTATACTTGGCTCCTGTAGAGATGAGAAGAGGGAGTCAGATCCCTTACACCTGGAGTTACAGATAGTTGTTGAAGTGCTGGGATTACAGGAATAAGCAACCATGCCAGGCTATAGACAGAAAGTTTAAAAAGTACTTGTAAACATGGTATTACACACTTGTAATCCCAGCATTTGGGAGGAAGGGCAAGAGAAAGAGAGAAAGAGAACTGACAATTTTGTAAATAACCTTCCATTCTTATTTTTACAGACTTAAAATTGTCACTATAGGGGCAGCTAACAACTGTCCACAACTCCAGTTCCAGGGGATCCTACAGCCTCTTCTGTCATCCTTGGGCATTGCACGACACGGGTGCACTTACCTACATGCAGGCAATACACGCACACACATAAAATAAAAATAATAAATATTTTTAAAAATACCACTGTGGGTGGGCATGGTGGCATACCCCTTTAATCCCCGCGTTCAGGAGACAGGCAGGTGGCTCTCTGTGAGGGCAGTCTTGGCTAGACAGCAAGTTATAGGCCAGCCAGGGCTACATAGTGAGACCCTTTTTTTTCTTTATTAATTACATTTGTTTATATGTGTATGGATGCACGCACCACAGTGTAAATGTGGAGATCATAGGCAACTTGCGAGAGTTGATTCTTTCCTTCCACCATGTGGGTCCCAGGGATCAAAGTCAAATTGCCAGGCTTGACAGCAAATGCCTTTTACCCACTTAAAACTTGTCTACTGAGAACAAAACAAAACAAAAAGCAGTCATTTTGACTTGTAGAGTTCTTAGTGTAGAGTATTTTGGCTATGCACGCTCATAGTCCATATTTCTTTTTTCCTTATTTTTGTGGGTGGGAGTTGAGATAGGATCTCACTGTTATTGCATGCTGGCCAGGAGCTCATTGTATAGTCCAGGCTGGCCTTGAACTTAAGATTCTCATGCCTCAACCTCCCCTAAGTGATTCAGGAAAGAGCCATTATTCCCAGCTTCATGTCTCTTTGTCTTTGCATCTTTTACAAATTAGTAGCTAGGTTTGGAGGTTTAATTAGCTTCAGATTCTGTCCCTTTGGCAGGATCTTATATGGTATACTCTATCATTTGAGAGGTACCTGTTGTCTAGTTTTCCCTTTCTGTGATATCAGCAGTTATTGATGCTCAATTTCAGATTATTGATTCATTGGGGGATAGCACAATACCTAGGTATGTTTATTCGCCGAGTATTTTTGCCATTGTGTATCTGTATGCATGATGTATGTGTGTGAGTACATATGCCACAGTACACGTGTAGAGGTCAGAGAACAACTTTGTGGAGTTGGTTGTCTCCTTCCATCTTTACATGGGATTCAGGAATGGAACTCGGGTCACCAGGCTTGCATAGCAAGGACCTTTACTCACTGAGCTATTTCATCAGCCCCATATCTTAGTCATTTCTTTTTCACTTACCAGTTTGATCACTTTTATAAAGGAGCCACTTTCTAGTACCTGTATTTGGTTGTACAGTGGTCCTAGAACCACAGTTTAACATAAGTATATTAACCTGTGTAATAGAAAAATTCCTAATTAGACTTAATTTTGAACAGAACTTCTTAGGGAGCTTGAAAGATCTGGGGAAATTAACAGATTTATTTGATGAATATTTGTTGAATGTTTATTTTGAGCTATGCATAATGCTCATCACTGTTGATATGCAGTGAGGGTAAATGGGTTAGTATCATGGGAGGATTGTGATAACTATGAAAGAGAAGTTTGGGGAGGACTTGGGTTAGACTTGTGGGTCAGGGATAGCCTCTCTAAAGATGTGCTTAACTTGAATTAGGAAGGATATGTACAAATTAGTCAAGCAAAGAGAGAATGGAAAGTTTCTGATAGAGTGGACATTATATGTGATGACTTTTTGCTGAGTTAGGGCTTTGCTTACTGAAAGATCAAGGGGAAAAGGCCAGCAATACCTATAACACTGTGATGTAAGAAAAGGGTTTGCCCTTAAGAGGCAGGTTAAGAGCTTCAGTGACACAGTAAGACTTTATGAAAAGTTAAGTGTCTTGAGATTTATTTTAGGTATAGTAGAAATATTATCTGTAGGGACACTGTTTTCTGACTTCTGCAGTCACTACATGCATGTGGTGCATGTACACATATTCAGACAAAACACCAATACACATAAAATGAAAATAAGTATTTTTAAAAACATATTGCCTATAGGCTTATGCTAGGTTCTTAGTCTGATAGGCATCTCTTAAGGATGATAACTGTGGGTAAGTTGGAAAGTAATCATTCCCATTTCTTTCAAGCCTTTACCAGACTGTGCTAAATACCATCTTTACAACTGATGTTGAGATAAAGGTAGAGAGTGGAAAGAATTTTAACCGCTAACCTTTTGCCTATGTTCAAAGGTGTCTGGAGAAGCCAATGAAACTCAGATTGCAGAAGCTTTGAAGCGGTACAGTGAACGGGCATTTTTTGTCCGAGAAGCTTTGTTTCATCTTTTTAGCCTGACCCATGTGATGGAAAAAACAAAGCCAGAAATTTTAAAGGTAAGAACAAGAAACTGGTGATGAAAATTTTGAAATTGTCTTCTATAGATTTTGTGTATTTAGTCTTTGACTTTTGTTTGTATTTTATTATTTTTATTTTTAATGAGATTGATGATCCTTAGTTCTAGTTATTAATTATAAATGAGAGAGAAGTTGGAGGCTAAGAGAGATGGTTCACAGGCTAAGAGTACTGACTACTCTTGTAGAGAACCTGGGTTCGGTTCCCAGCATCCCACTTGGTAGCTAACAACTATTCTTAATTCCAGTTCCAGGGGATCCAACACATTCTTCTGGTCTCTGCAGGCTTGCATACATGGCTGGGCTTACAAACTTACTGCAAAACACACATACACATAAGTTAAAAATAAATGAAGTTGGGCGTGCTAATGCACGCCTTTAATCCCAGCACTCCAGAGGCTGAGGCAGGTGGATCTCTGTGAGTTCAAGGGCGGCCGGGTCTTCATAGTTCCAGGCCAGCTGGGGCTACAGAGAGCCCCAGTCTCAGAAAGGGAGGGAGGGAGGAGGGAGGGAAGGAGGGAGGAAGGGAGGGAGGAAGAGAAAGAAATCCTAAAAAAGGAGATGCATAGTAGCATACCATTATTTAAAGAAAAATGAGGGTTCTGCTTCCCTGGGCCTGCACCACCAACAGACCTCTCTCCAAACTCAGGCCTCTCTCTCTGGGGTAAGTCAGTTGCGCCCTCCGCCCCTTGACTCCCCCAGCCTCATTCACCCTCCCATCTCCCCTGCCGATCTCTCCTCTTAGCCTGGGTCCTGTCCCATTCCCTCCCTTGGTGCCCCAGACACTTGGGGAACCACTACTGCTTCCTGAGCCTTTGCATCCAGACCAACTCAGTTCCTTCTCCAGTCCCCAGGGGTGCTCTGGGCCTAGCCCGGCCCTCACCTCCCTCTGCTTCCTTGGGTCTGCACAGCCCACCAGCCATTTCCCGGGTCACCGGGGCTGACCTTTCCTCTTCCTGGTCCTTTGCATCCAGACCAACCCAGCTCCTCAGTGCAGTCCCTAGGGGCCCTTGGGGCCACTTCCTGCCCCCATCTGCCCCCATCTTCCTTTGCATCTCTGAGTGGCACGGCCACCAGCTGCCCTAGACCAGCTGCCCTGCCCGGCTCCCAGACCAGTCCAACCCCCAAATTCCTGAGGCCAAAATCTTACCTGGAGGAATCCAGACCTTAAGAGAAAGCCTGAGAGCCTCTGATCCTCATCTGAATTGGGCCTCTGTGGGAACTCCTGAGGACAAAAGCAATTGGGCCACTCCAGTATAAAATCAAAAGAGAGAACCGGAAGCTTAGATGAACCAGCTTTTCATGCCCCCAAAGTAAACCACAAAGACACATAAAGTTCACAAAAAGAAGCAGACCTAAACTTGAAGGCTTGAGTCTCACACAAGAATCAGAAACTACAAAAGAAATCCATATGTCAAAATCAAAGAGAAAAAAATAACAACATGGAAAAATAAAATAACATACCCCACCAAATACCAATAGTCCTCTATAATGAGAACCCCCGAGAGATAACACAAGACATGGAATTCAAAAGAACAATTATAAACATGATAAAAGAATTCAGTGAATTTAAAGACCACACAAGCAAAGAAATCAAAGAACTGAAGGAAGATAGGGATAAACTTCTGAATGAATTCAGGAAAGAGTTAGAAATATTGAAGAATACTCAGGCTGAAACGAAGAAGGAAGTGTACATCAAAGTGTACATCACACTGTACATCAAAGGAGACAACCAGGGAAGCAAACAGAAAACCCACAGAATGGGAGAAAATCTTCACCAGACACATCTGACAGAGGTTTAATATCCAGAATGTAGAATGAACTTAAAAAACAGAATCAAGACAAGAAACAACCCAATTAAAAGATGGGCTAAGGAGGTGAACAGAGATTCCTCAAAAGATGAAGTAAAGATGGCTATGAAACATCTTAAAAGATGTTCAACATCACTAAAAATTAGGGAAATGCAAATTAAAACCACTTTAAGATTTCACCTTACCCCAGTCAGACTGGCTAAGATCAAGAAAACAAATGATACCAAATGTTGGAGAGGATGTGGGGAAAGGGAAACACT